AAAATGAGGCACTCCTCGCGGAGAGTAAGTACATTGAGATCAGCAACCCAGCTTAAGTTCATGAAAAGAAGGATGTCAGGAATGGCCCCATCATGAAAGTGAAAACCCGATATTCCAACGATTACAAGCTTCCTCTCCTTCCTTCCTTTACGATAACGAAAAATAAGGTAGAGTCGACTACACGCAGGTTGCCGTATTTCTAAGCTTTAGTCTATCTAGAAACCTAACACCAAGAAGTGGGAGCTTACCAACCTCCACCACTTTTGTAGGTCAGCTAAACGTTTTTACGAACGCCGCTGAAAATGCAATTTAAATTTGCCAACATTCTCGTTCCAAACCTTTACCCTACAGCCAATCTGAAGGGTGGCAAATTCAGGTAATATCAATTAACCCCTTTGATCTACTCTATCATCTGATAGTAACTGCAGAGGTTTAGCCGAAATGGAAGCAACGAACAATATGCGGTAAACGGACCGGTCGAAGTTACAACAGTACGGAAAATAATTGTGCAATACGTACTATGATGTCAATATAATTATTTTCAAGAGAGTTGTAACTTAAACCTGGCCGCTATGGCATGTTGTTCTTTGTTTCCACTTTGACTACACCTCTGCAATCATAATCAGTTGATAGAATGATGCAAATGAGCAAATGTCATTATTTCAATCTCTCACCATTCAGACTGGTTGTAGATGTCTGAAACGTCAGTATCTTTATATGACATTCATAATTAAAAATATTAAGTGCTCATGTACAGTTTGTAACTTTCTGAAACACACTGATTTAATTAACTGGCTGAGTTTTATGTTAAATTTAATCGTTTCGATAGACAAATGTGGTCTTGAGAAGTGTTCTTTGAGTCATTCCAAAACAACTTTTTCCATATGTCCTTGTGCAAAATCAGCCAGCATTCGCTAACCCCCTAGTTAATTAACAAAAAACAGTGGAGAACTGGGAAAGCAACCTCGTTTGACGGCATCCGCACCTACCCGAATGTCATCGGACTTCGAATCCAGCGTTTCGACAAATCTACCCAAAAAACTTCGCGGTTCGAGAATAAAATAGTTGGCTTGGTCAGAGCATACGATGCTATGGACAACGTCCAGCACGCTGGACAACACGTAGTTCTGGCGACTGCGCAAGAACACATTTTCAAGCACTTCAAATGCCTTCAAATTCTTCACGCTTCGACCTAAACTAGCGACGGTAAAGCTTCAAAAAGCGACAGCAGTGGCAACTTACCGTCGCCGGCCGGCTGCGGTAATTCAAAGCCAGGTAGAGTGAAGAGTGTGTTGGTGACCAGAGGCTTGAGCTCGGTGAAGTGCGACGTCACCAAGCTGCTAATCATGAAAAGTAGGTTGCGAAGCGAGTCTTGATCATCACGCGCCGGACATTCCTCATTGCTACAATAAGCAATAAAAATGATGCAACGACGCCAAAGAAAAGACGAATACGCGCGTTATGAGCTTTCTTACTCGATAATGAAATCGGTCAAAAACTGGTATCCTTGAACGTCAAGAAAGTCGTTCAACAGCGTGTCGCTGGCCAACGCTGAATCTTTCAATATGCAGAGAAGACAGCCGATCATTTCGACGCGTTCGCTCAACATCGCCTCTTGAATCTGACGCACGTTGTTGACGAACATGGCTACAGCTTTCTTAGCTGAAATAAAACATGCCAACCCGTTGTTTAAATCTGACTTCATGAACAACCCATAGAACACTAGTTTCGGTTAGTTTCTATGCACTCACCGTGAACGTAGTTCAAAACGAACGACATGTGAATGTTGGAACAGAGTATCATGAGCAAGTCGATGGTTGAGCCGCGCCAAATGCGGTTATGTTCTGGACACCAGGAACTAGCGCCGCTGAACAACAGCAAGAGATCGTCTTTTCGAATCAACTCTTCAGTTCCAGCAGTAGTATGCAACAACAACCGCAAAACCTAAAATTCATCAAAGAGTTAAGTTGTTGCCAAATGATCTACAGTTTGCTTACTTCTAAGAATACCTGCCGAACAGCTTCGCAATCGTCCTCAGAAATGGAAAGCACAGTCATATCAGGCAGGTCAAAAAAAAGGTACAGACACTTCACAAGCGTTGATGGCAGGGAGGCTTTGCAAGCTGCACCTTTAGCTGCTTCACAACCGCTTGATAACAAGTAAGACAATGACCGCAGCATCATCCAACCGTAGTGACCATAGTCAGCCCTTCCGTGGTTCGACTTTTGGAAATAGGTGAAAATTGCAATAGCAGCAGTGGCTAAACAGATTCATAATATATGGGCGAGTTGAAACTACGTCATTCATACAAACATAATAAAAATACAAATATTCTGCTCTGCCAAATCTGTCGTCTTTCGTGCGCTTTTTAAAGCAGTCAATGATCAAAGTACAGCACCGTACAATCTGTGCCCTTAAGTAGCTACGACATCCGCGAAGATGAAAGTTTGTTATAAACCTTGGCAGAGGTAAACGTTAACGAGGCGGTGGTAAACTTGTTAAACTTAACTTATTCTAGACAAATTTCTGTGCTACAGCAAGAGCAGTCTCTAGAAGAAAGAAATCTCACGACTGTTTCACAAGCCAAATATTTAAGTGCTCAAGGCAGCCCCTGCCAACATCTTCATCTTCTTCTTCATCTTCCATGGTTGCTTCTCCTTTCAGGTCGCAGAGAAAGACCTGTCAGACAGTTCTTAAAAAGTTCCTGATCCTGTGCCTGGCTCTGAGCTTCGGCAGAAGACAACTGCAGTCTGGAATAGACTCCTTCCATATATTTGCACAGGTTAATCTTGGTCGCCCCTGGGACTTCTGCCGGCCGGTCTGTCAAGAAACAATTGCTTAGCGTTCCTTTCTGGAGGCATTTGCAATGCATGATCAAATCATCGCAACCGTGCTTCTCAGTGTGGAGAAGCAAAGCCAGTACACAAGTCTGGATGTCAGTATTCTGGACCATGTCGAGACCCGAAAGGCCTGCGAATCGTCTCAGAAAGACCATTACAGCAGCTTGTACCCGGGATCGAAGCTTTTCAGTCATGGTCCACGACTCATGACCGTAGGTGAGCATGGGGATAAAGATCGACTTGAGCACCGAGAGCTTAGCTTTCAGACTGAGCTCTGCTTTCGTCACAATAGATCGGGCTAGTTCACGCAGAGCACCGCTGGCTACTCCAATTCGCCAGTTAAACTCTTCCACAAATT